CTGTTGAAAAAAAAATTGTATAATATATGCCAGAAGGCAATCCTCTATTGGACTTATACATGTCTAGCGGTATAAGCGGTATAAGCGGTGAATGCTCCAACACTGGAAGTTTTTAAGAAGAAACTGGATAGCCATTTGTCCCAAATGGTATAGGGTTTCCTGCCTGAGCAGGGGTTGGATTAGATGACCTCCAAGGTCCCTTCCAACATCATCATCATCATCATCATCATCATCATCATCATCATCATCATCATCATCATCATCATCATCATCATTATTATTATAGATTTCTAGATTCATCAGCTTTATTGAGAAAACAATTTCTTCCAATGATGTGAATTTCCATTCCTGTGTCAGCCAATACAGGTGGCCCTCGACTTGCGATCACAATTGAACCCAAAATTTCTGCTCCTAAGCGAGACATTTGTTAAGGGAGTTTTGCCCCATTTTACGACCTGTCTTGCTGCAGGTGTCAGGTGAATCACTGCAGTTGTTAAGTTTATAACCCTAACACTAAGTGAATGTGGCTTCCCCATTGACATCATTTGAAGGTTACCAAAGGGGATCACATGACCCCAAGACATTGCAGCTGTCATAAATACGAGTCCGTTGCCAAGCATATAATTTTGATCACAGGACCGTGGGGATGCTGCAACGGTTGTTAAGTGTGAAAAAAGGTCATAAGTCACTTTTTTCAGTGCCGTTGTAACTTTGAACGGTCACTAAATGGAACTGTTGTAAATCGAGGACTACCTGTATTGCGGGTATGGTTTCTACTACACCGACAGCCCCAAGATAGAGCCTTCAAGGGCTTCACATGTTTAATAGTAAGGAAGAAGTGGTCTTTAGCTACCCTAAAACTATTAGTGCTGATCACCAAGCAACAAGCAAAATGTTGCCATAGTTGGGGGTTTATCAGGCGGAGTACTTCATCAAACGAAAAGATTTCAAATGTCTGGGTGTTACCTTTCAATCATTTTTTGTCACAGAAGAAACAGATGAGAGATGCTTCTGCTTGGACCCATAAAACTGCCAGTGCAATTTTATGATTTGTCAGCAGTGGCCCTAAATTTACTTAAAGTCAAGATAACGAGCCTTGCAGTTTCATGATTTACAGTCCTGTTGTAAAGTTCTGAGAACCTTCACAGTAACACTACCCAAGTTTATTAGAGATTCCTTTAGGTTCTGCAATATCTCATCAACTTCTTCTAGACTTCAAATCATGGCTAGAGTCTGTCAAGCTACCCTTAACATTTTCTCACTTAAAAGTCTTGTTAAAACTGGCCTTTAACGGGGCAATTTTTGGCTTCCTTAATTTCCTGGAAGGTAAGAATGCTTGTAGATCTTAGATGTTGAGGCCCTTGAACCAAATTTACAGGTGGTCCTCAGCGAGCTGTAATTGGGATCAGGAACTTTGTCACTATGCAATGTGATTGTGAAGTAAAAATCACATGACTGTGCCAACTTACAACAGCCATTTCAGCTGCAGTCTTTAAGTGCGACGTCAAGTGATTGTGACTTCTGATGGCCGATGACTTCCCTATTGACTTTACTTCTCAGAAGCCAGTCATAAAGGTCACAAATAACCATCACAGCGCTGTGGTTCACCGTGACCATTGTAATTGTGTAGTAGTTGCTAAACGTTTGAATCACGTGACTGCAGGCATGGTGGGAGGACTGCAACTTTGAGGACCAACTATAAATCTCCTCACTCAGCACCATTGTGACTTCGAGCAGTTGCTGAATGGGGGTTGCTAAGCAAGGACAACCTTTATTTTCATTGGGTTTTGAGAGGGGCCTTGTGGCTTAGCTTTGATCTGCTAATCTAGAAGCTATTCCTATCAGCTGGGTCAATGCTAGGATTAAGCTTTTAAAATTGCATTCTTTAAACAAATATTGTACTAAAGTTACAGTCTTACAATTTAGTAACAATCACAATGTATTGATTATTGCTATTAATAATTTAGTAAGTAGTGGTAATACCAGTAAAATGTGAGCTATAAAATGCATTTTGCTGTACAGAATTTGTGCAGTAAGCAACACATGAATCTAAATATACACAAAGTTAAGTCCAATTTAGAAGATTTTGTGAGTCACCAAATCTTAACTCCTTGTCCCAAGATTAGAACTTCTTCCTTAATTTTATGGTATTAAAGATCATTCTTAGATTGTTGCTAAAGGCATACATCCTTGATTGTTGCTTTTGGAGAGAAAAAAGAATCCCTTTGGCATATTAAAGGCTAACACACTGACTGCAGCATGATGTTTATGTCTAATATAAACTACATTATCAGGTTCAAGAAAGATTTTCTTTAATTTTAAGCATATTTCTCTGAGAGTGTGCATGTGCTCACATACAGATAATATAGCCCATTGTTTGACAGAATTATAAATATTGAGGGCAAAGAATAATTAAAAAACAATGCCATAATAACATTTTGTTAATTAATGTTAGATAGTCTGTGAACTTATAAAGCCCTATTCATTTGTGTTAGATATTCTGGAGACCTCAAGTTTTATAAGTTACGTGAACATCCCACCTATTCTGCATTAATCCCCATTCTCATCCCGCCATTTTCACATGCAGCTGAAAAATTTATGTACCCCAAGAGGGGGATGGATGGATGGATGGATGGATAGATGGATAGATAGATAGATAGATGATTGATAGATAGATAGATAGATAGATAGATAGATAGATAGATAGATAGATAGATAGATAGATGATAGAATTATGAATGTTGTGTCTTCACCTTTGGTCCTCCAAGCCGTACTGGATTAGGTTTCCAGTTTTTTCCCCTTTCTTGGTTCTAATGTGAACACAATTTAGTGAATATTATCATGCTGCAGCTAAAACATACTTGTCGTTGGATTAGTTATATGCCACTAAATCATTTTCAACTTCTAGGAACTATTTTGAGCAGTTTTGAGCATTTACAAAATCCCTCCAGTCATTTCTGTAGCTTTCAATGATCATTGTGTGGCTTCTGCAATAAATTGTTATTTGTATTCAGCTTTTAGTTAAGGCTAGAGGATTGAGCCAAGTAACAAAGTTGGAGACGATAATAAATCAGATTAATTATGTTCCCTTGATGCACACATGAAGCAGCGTTACACTTATTACTGGTATTTGCTGTAGAGAAATATCCAGTGCCCAGGCAGTGGTGCTGAATCTTCTCTTTTTTTTACTTTATCTTTTATTACTCTGTCATTAACTGAGTTGGAAATAAACTAATATAATTGCTGGTATGATAGTTAATCATCTTCTCCGTGTTTTAATGTATTTCATGTGCTTCATGAAATCATAGCTAAGCTGTCTTTTGTAGGGTTTGTTTTGCTCTTTCACTGTTATCTAACCATCTTTGTCACTTTGGATAGCAAGATGGCAGCATATAAATGTAATAAATAAATAAATTAAAATTTATGCCATTCCTTTAGATTTTATTAGCAGTTGGAGGAGAGAATCCAGAGAAATAGTACAGGTAGTTCTCAACTTACAACCATTTATTTAGTGACGTTTTGAAGTTAACAACACACTGACAAAAGTGATTTACGACCGTTTTTCACACTTAGGTTGCAACCCCATGGTCATGTGATCAGAATTCAGATGCTTGGCAACTGGCATGTATTTATGACGGTTGCAATGTTCTGAGGTCATCTGATCATCTTATGTGACTTTCTGACAAGCAAAGTCAATGGGGAAGCCAGATTCGTTTAACAAACATGTTACTAACTTAACACCTGCATTGATTCACTTCACAGCTGTGTCAAGAAAAGTCATAAAGTGTGGCAAAAAAACTGACTTTAACAACTGTCTTACTCAACAGTGGAAATTTTGGGCTCAATTGTGGTCTCAGGTCAAGGACTTGCCAGTATTGGAAACAATGCCAGGCCTATACTTTTCTCATTATTTAGAGAAATCCCATGATAGTTGAAGAACTCTTTAAACTCAATGCGTGGGATTCTGTTTGGGAGCCTCTAGCTACACAGAGTGCGTCTATATTTTTTCTGCTTATTTTTCTTTGATCAAAGAAAAAACTACACAGAACAGATATAGTATATGGAATTTTAATAAAGGACACTTTGGATTTCTTTGCAATTTCATCCATAAAGCTGCTTTCTTTTGGATGAGGAAACAATATTGTAGGGTTACACTTGTGGTTTCCCTTACTTTTGTACAATGATCTAAATACATGACGCTTTATAAAAAAACCCAAGCTCCTAACTCATGGGTTTTTCTAATAAAAACTACACACAAACAAGAGAAAGGAAAGAAGGACGCATAGATAAGTCAGTATATGTGATTATTTCATTCATATGTGTTTTGTTTTGTTTAGCTGTAGGATAGGATAGGATAAGCTATGATAAGACAGGATAGGATATTGACCTAAAGTGTTCCTGAACAAAATGAGCTTGAAGGAGGAACTTACAGGAAACAAGGGAGGCTTGTTGCATTCAGAAATACATTTCCAGGTGTAAACAACAAGAGATGATAGGTGAATTTCTTCTAGGGAGTAGGATATCTTTGAGTGGATGAAGTATATTGAGCAGAATAGGGACAACTGCAGAAAAAGAAATGTTTCTACTGGGACATCCATAGGATACAAAGCACCACCCCCTTTTACATGTGTGATATCACAACACATATGCAAAAGGGATGGAGTTAGCAGTGCAATAATATGACACTCCTTCCATCATTTTAATCTCCTTTGGCTTTCCCGCATGCAGACACCTTTAGCTGATAAACACATACTGGCTATTCAGAAGGACACAGTTATAGAGAAACTTAAAAGAAAGTGTGAAATAAATATGAGAATTTATTGAAAGAATAATATTTAAGGAGACACTCTCCTCCCACCCACCCCTGTTTTCTGAAAATAGCCTTGCACATACTTAGCTTTCATAGCTGAACTAATTTGATAAGCAGAAAAGAATCCTTACCTAGCCAATAAGCATTTTTTATTTCTTCTCTTTTTTGGTTTGGTTTGCTTTGTTTTTAGATTGCATCCCAGCGAATAAGCTCAGTGGACCTCTCATGTTGCAGCCTGGAGGATATGCCTGTCAATCTTTTTTATAGCCAGGACCTCACTCATCTCAATTTGAAGCAAAATTTCCTAAGGCTGAACCCTAGCTCATCAATGGTCAGAGGACTTGACGATCTACAAAGGTAAATCAGCTCTTTAATCTATTTCACTTTCCCTTGGAAAAAAAATGCAGTTGCTTTAAACTTTCTTAAACCATGCCTGAACAGTTTCTAGCTGTATTATCTCTCTGTGTTTCACCCAAACCTTAAGTGGGTGTGCCCAGAGTGATTTTCAAGAGCCCAACCCATTTTACATAACCTGATGGTATCGTGGGAACTGAGTGATGCAAGACTATTTTACAGTGGGTGAATTTGTGGGAAGAACACATTGTTAAAAATGGGTAGAGACTAAAGAGAACACCACAATAATCCACTGACCATGTTCAACCGAATTATACTTGCAAAACAAAGTGACAGATTTTGCCACACTGCTTGCCTGTGTATGCCTTTATTGCTCATTTGTATTGTGTTGGTTACTTGCAAAAGATAGAAAATCAACTATTTTCCCATATGAAATATTTACTTTCCTTTAGGGGTCTCTGTTAAAGACTTTAGCTATTCACATGGTTGCTTGCAAGCCTGAATGCTAGTTGGGATCTTGGTTGAAGTTCTGTGCCTGTACTTTACACAGACTGTAGTGCCTAATCCTTCTTTACTGGATCCAGATAGCTGCCTCTAATAGTATATGCATTTTTTGTGATGTAATTTGGAAAGAGTTTACTATTGAAGAGAAGGTTAGTTGGATTTAATTATCTTTCTGATCACTTCAAGTGGTTTTTGCCAGGAAAGTACACTTCAGACTGGAAGGGAGGATTAAAGCTTCTTCCTGTCCCAGGGAGGGAAAAAAACTTCCTTTTAATTACATGTACTGATTTTAGTTGACCGCACTTCAACTTTGTCACTGAATAATTCAGTATAGCCACAGGACTCACTAGTGGCAAGAACATACATAAAATGTAGGAATAAGCTATAATAGTTAACAAACATAGGAAAGCAGTTAGTGGTTTGTGCCTTGTCATTTAAATTAACACTGAATTCTTTTTCAACTTGAGTAGGATGAGATTGTTAACAACCAGATTTCAGTGACCAGAATGGTTCTTTGTAAGTGTGTCAGCTACCATTCTTAGTTGGAGACAGCAGGAAAGGAATACAGGTATTCGTCAACTTACAACGTGTTGCTTAATGACCCTTGGAAGTTACAACAGACTCAAGAAAAGTTACAATCTGTCCTCAAAGTTATGAATGACACACCACCCATGTGGTCACTTGATTGCATCTTGACTTGGCAACCAGCTCACATTTACAACTGATTGCAGCATCCCATGGTGACATGATTGCATTTTGCAACGTTTCTTGCCATTTTCCAGCAATAAATACCCACTGAACAAGCTAGATTCAGAGTAATGACCATGTGATTCACTTAACCGTTGTAAGAACAGTTTTAAAATTGAGTCAGGTTATGTGATCACTCAACTTATGACTGCAATGACTTATGACTAAACTTCCAGTCTCAACTGTGGCTGTAAGTCGAAGTTTTCCAGTATACCTCAGAAGTACTATATTCTTAGGGAAGGTCAATGTAGTAGTTAAAATACCGTTTGTAATACAGTGTAATCTAAAGCTGTACATATAGACACAAGCCATCTAGTTGCTTCTTATGGCTAAATGTACAGAGGGACAATCTAATCCATCTACTAATACATCCCTGACTATCCTGTTCTATAGGAAACAATTAGCCTTTATTTTCTTTAGAGTTCTTTTGAGGTATATCTTGGGAGCCCTGCACATGTCTAGCTTATGCCAATGTTAATGAAGGCTAAAATTAATTCTGAACACCAAGCATGGTATAGAGGACAACTCAGCATAACATCTGCAGTGGTCTCAATTCTGCATCTGTCATATTGACTTTATATTCTGGTCTTTCTGGAGATCTGCATCAAGACATTGCTTTATATCTCAGTCAGCTCTCTTTAGTCCTAATAGAAAATAAGGATCCCTGATCCCCCCCCTGCAAAGAAAAAGGAAAGCAAATGTAAATCATGTGCTTCTTTACTAAGTGAACACTTTGGTAAAATTTCTGTGAAAGTCATAAAATTTTGCATTGTTGCATTTTTTGGGGGGTGGCTCTGATACATGCAAAATCACAAATTTGTCAAATTACCTTCATGCAGCTTGTTTTAATTTTTATGTTGATGTTTTGGCCTGCGACTTTACAGCAAGCAAACATAAATAAATGTTCCAGTATTGCTGTAAAGGAGGCATGTTTGGAAAACCCTTTATCACAGCCAGTACTTTATTAATAATGTCATCCTGTACAGGACAGCTGTATTCAGGTTTAGATGCAGGATAAAAAAAAATCCTTGCCATCAAAGGATTTAAATGGGAGACATGATTCTTTATAAGATCATTTTTTTGCTCCTATTTGGAAGGCGGGATCAATTCAGTCTCACCTGGCTTACCGCATTGCCCATTTTGTGGTGACTTAATAGTGCTTTTATCAGCCAATTGTGCCAGCACGTCAGCTGAGGAGAACATATCCTTTCTATTAGCTGCTTCTACAGAATCTCCAGAAGAGTTGCTAAGTTCTGCTCAATTACTATTTCTGTAAAAGCACTTAACACTGGCATTTGTTAACTTAGACGACATATATGCTGTCTGAACATGGAATAGTTTGTTTAGCCTATTACAGTGATGGCGAACCTTTTAGAGACCGAGTGCCCAAACTGCAACCCAAAACCCACTTATGCATCGTCGGGTGCTGGATGGGTGTGGCCCGTTAGGTGGGTGTGGCCCATTGGGTGGGCGTGGCTGCGGTGGTAACAGCAGATTGGGTGGGACTAAAAAGTTCAATCAATCAATTCCAACTTTGCAAGATCTTTTTTTTCCCCGTGAGAAGTTGAAATTGACTGATTGATTGAACCTTTTTTTTTGTGCATGGCAGCGGAGGCCTAAAGCGAAAAGGTTTTATAAAACCCAGCTGAAGGCCTAGGACTGGGGCGATGGCGCGCGTGCCCACAGAGAGGGCACTGAGTGCCGCCTCTGGCACCTGTGCCATAGGTTCACCACCACTGGCCTATTATATAGCCCAGATAATTATTTTTTTTGTTGTTCCTCCTCTCTTTTATTTTTTTCTCCAAGTGTGTACTACATATTGGGCAATTGATCTCTAAATAAAACAACTCAATAGGCTTCCTAAGTAGCTTGTTTTCTAAGAAAGACTTTGCTGTGTAGTTGAGTCTTGATTTACTTTTCAGTGATCAACCACAGGCCCTGTTATGCCACCATCAGGTTTTCAATCAGTCTGCAATTTACAAAGTTTTCAGACATGCCTCTCCTGATTTCCTGTGCTGCTATTTTATGGAACTCACTCCAGCACTCTGTTCAAGTTCGGTTGGGTGCCTCTTCTCTTTCTGTTGGATATTGAGATTAAGGCAGCTACCAACTTGAGTGTAGTAATCATATCACAATATCTTTGGGTGAAAAATAGCATTTTGTCTCCTAGAATGATTGATGGCCTGAGCTTCACTCCTTCCAGTACTTCTTTATTATATGTGTGGAAAAGTCTGGAAAACTATTTGGAGCTTCATCCTGGAACCTTCGATTCTTCAGTGAAAAAAAGTTTTATACAAGTTTAAAGAGTTAGAATAGTCTCTTTTTTGGAATAAACAGCACAAGGGTGATTAGAATGTTGATTTTGGAAAGTTACAAATGGACTAAAGGTCCAGCTGGAATTGAAGTAAGATTTTGAAACCAATTATAAGAATCCTTTCTGTGAAAAATGTTATTGTTTTGAATATTTAATAAGAATATATAAAATGGGGGGTTTGAAATTTGGACATTTGAAGGAATTATTTATTATTATTTAGTGTATGATGGGAACATGACAGAAGAGAACTAAACATTTACACACAATCCACGTAATTATCTACAAAACCTTTATGAGGGTATGTCAGTGGCCTCATAACTGGATGTTCAGTTCGGCTATCCAGGCAATCGCTCTGGCATTGCTTTGTGCAAATCTTCTAGGAACCAGAGAATGCAAGTCATGGACAATCTTGCACAGGATGTTTAGCAGTTTGCATATCAGCACCACAAGCACAACAAAGGGATTCTTTCCATCCCCACTGATACAGGACAGGGGCACTTCTTCCAGCATCACACCTAATTCTGTTCAATTTCGTCCAGACAGAGCAAAGCAGGTCAAAACTAGGTGGTTTGGTAGAGGGATCACTAATGGTCAGGCCACAAGAAGGTACCTTGGACCATTCTTCTCTCCAGACATTCTCAGGTTAAATTTGGGTAGATGCTAAGTGAATAGCTGTTTTCCATGCTGGCCTATGGGATTTCAATCTTGTGATAGACTGTGCATTGTCCTAATGAATAGGGAGGGCCTTATTGTTCAGCATGATTGACCATAGCTGAACAAGAGCTTGTTGTCTTAATGTGGGGCAGTATGATATTGCTAAGTACTAGTAACCAATGAACAGGAATGGGATGCAATGTGCCAGAGATGATATGCATTGTCTGACAGAGTTGAACATCGACCATTTGGGTATAGGTGCTCTTAAGCCACACACTGGCACAATACTTGGTTGTGGAATAAACCAAAACCAAGGCTGCATACAGTGCTAGCTTCAATGCCCCAAGATGTTCCAGCCAGTCTGTTCAAGAAATTGTTATGGCTTTTCAATTTTGCAGCTGTTTTTTGCAGGTGTTGTCCGAAGATGAGTGATCTGTCCAGTATTACGGCCAGATACTTTGGCGAGTTATCGCATTGTAAAATATGGTTCTGTAATATCACTGAAGGCTGGTAATTTGTGTAACTATAGTTGAGGTGGTTATTAAGCTTGGTTGGAGGTGCCATTTTTTAAGGAATTAAATATTAGAATTAAAGGAGAAGAGCATCTGGAGTTGACTTATTAATACAGAATGGAGCAAAATATTTTAACATTAGACATATTGAAGGATATTTGTGAACAATAAACCCAGAAGTTAATTTTTTAAAATGTGTGATATTATAGACACTGTGTTTGGAAGATGATATGGAAGAGGAGCAAACTTTGCTGGATAGGACTGAAACTGAT